GCTGCGCCCGGGTCCCCTCTCCCGAGGGAGCAGTCCCTCTGCGCAGGAGGCAGGAGCAAAGAGTGCCCCCGGCAGCAAACGCTGCGCCCCAGCCCAGCACCACGCAGCCCGGTAGGATGAGGGGCACCGAGCCGGGCACCCTCTGCTTTGTTCTCCGTTCACAAGCGTGCGCAGGAAAGCTTCAAAAATGAGCAGATTCTAACTGAAACCCCCGTGAGATACCCATACAAACCGATTTGCCTTCACAGGTGGCCTCGCTCTGAGCAGCCAGTTGCGCTGGAGACCTCCAGAGGAGCCTTCCAACCTGGATCGTTCCATCGCTGGAACGGCGCCTTGTACAACTGTAGACACGTTACCTGTGTTTGCTCTTCTCCACCGGGAATGCTGGCAGGAGCCATCAGGCTCCCCTTGGATGCGCTGCCAGAGGAGCACGGGGGTCCCTGCCCCTTCAAAAGAGAAGCCCAAGCTTGGCCAGCCCACCCCAGCCTGCCCCATTCCCAGCCCAGGGGACCCTCGCCCCTTTCAGGCACCAGGCTCCCCAACGGGCACGTGCGGATGTGGAATCTCGCAGCGGTGCGCTCCTTCGGGGGCTGCGGGTGCTGGGTGAGGAGCACCTGCAGGAGCGGCGTGGGGCTGGCCGCTGCAGGGTGTTCAGATGGTAACGCGGGATTCTGCAACCCTGCCTGCCATCACGGTGCCAAAGGAACAGCCCCCGCACCCAACGCTCATCTTACAGCATGCTCCAGCAGCCCGGACCCACGCAGAGCCTGGGCCCCGAGCTGTGCCAGGCTGGGGCTGCTTCGCTGCCAAACGTCTCGTGTTCAGGTCCACACTAAGCTCCTAACAAAGCCATCACGCCGCCAGGATCCACATCGTTGTAAAGCTATCCCTCGTACAGCTCAATATATGGGAAATTGGTTTCACCACACATACTTGGATCTCTCTCTGGTTAAAACTTGTTTGAGGCTGAAAAATCCTTCAGATCTCTGCTAAGTTCAGCGAGCAGAATTAAGATCTTTTTCCTAAACAGCCTCTGGATCCAATCGAAGGACTCCCTCATGGGTAGGGAATTTTTCACATTAGAATGCTACACTAATGCAAACCATGACTGCTGTACCACTAATGCTCAAGAGAACTACGTAACTCTTCCTTACATCAGAACCAAAAAAGGCCTTTGGAGTCGCAGCTCCATCCTTCAGTTCCAAGGAACTCCACTGGGAACAGAAGGTCCAACCATTTAACTCGTTCTGTGCTTCACAGGTGGAAGTGTGGAACTGTGAGACCTGGGAGTGCCTTGAAACTTTAGAGGGAAAATCTTCTCGTTCAACCAGCTTTTCTTAAGTCCGGTTTCCCAATTTCTTTTGCCCTCAATAGGTCTTTACATGCACACAAAGAACACTTGGTCTGGAACTGTCACACTCCCCACATTTTCCTAACACTTAACAGGAACCAAGCCGCCTCTCTTCCCACCCTGCAGCACCGAAGGCTCTGCTAACAACAGCCTGCTGGGACTCACCAGGTGCTGAGGAATTCTTCAGTTTCAATCTGCTAAAACACTTCAGCAAATTAGTTCACCTCCATTAAAACTCAAACAGTGGCACAGACAAAAACTTTAAACACTTACTCTTAGGGTACTGAAGGGATAAATACCAACTCCCTGTAAACATCTAGATAAAGTTTCCATTTTAAATCAATCTCAAGTTAAATACTTTTTACACATTAAGTTGAACCAGCTTCACAGATGTGTGCTTGTTTGCCTGTTCTAAGAGAAAAATAATCTTAACTGCAAGTTATGTTAGTACCGTCATTAGCTATAAAAGTCCAATCAAACTTTCCGTGAATCCTCTGATTTCTTTTCATAAAGCTAATTTCTTTATCTCATCACTATTAAAAAACCCACCAGTGACAGCTTCCAAACAAAATTCAATTTAATGAGACATAGCCCATATAATTAAAACTTTCGGTGCACTGCAGTTTTATGCCTTGATGGCATATTTCCGCGCAGGGTACAAACGTTCTTTTCGCTGCTGTTTTTTGGTCTTCAGATTTTCTTCATGTTTGTTTAATCTGCGTCGCATGGCACGAGTCTTCTTCGGCCGCAGATCAAGAGGCTTGTACTTTTTGCCCTGTTTGCAAAAATACACAGGTTGAGTTTGAGAGGCTGCGAGGTGGCAATCAGGTGCATGAGCTCATCCAGAGCTGAGCAGCCTACAAGGAGGACATCAGCACCAGTGCTGTCAGCTTCTTTTTACTGGGACTGTCGCTACATTCTAGAAGCTTAAAAGAACATCTCTCGACTGGGAACCAGGAGTTGAGTCTCACTTTTGTACCAGTCGTACTAGCGTTGACTCAGGTTTACGCAATGCTTAATCTTACAAGTCCCAGTTGTCCAAGACCTCTTGAAAAGTTATTTTTTTCCTATTCTACATAATCCAAACCCCACCAACTCATATTCTAAAAATTATAGTAACTGACTAAAGTGAAGAACTCCTTGGTCACCTGCCACATGATTAAAATTTACAGAACAGAGTACCAGAATCTTCTAGAAAGTACACGACATCCCAAAGAAGGGACGCTGCCCAGGGGACTCTCCTGGCAAAAGCAGATTCACATCGAACTTACAGAACTCAGGGCAGTCTTGGAAAAAGACCACTACCCAAGATGTTTGGACTTACTTTGTAAAACTTCCTCAAGTTCTCCTTCTGGGTCTGATTGATAACAGTTAAGACTCTGGCAATGGATTTGCGCACCACACGTCTGCAGGTGAAAAAAAGCATCTCAGAACACGCTAAAAGACAAGCCCCATCGGGCTAACACCCAGTACCCAGAAAAGGTGGACATGCTACACCCAACACGGCCCATGTCGTAGGGAAACACGAACAACTTCCAGCACATCTCAGCTTAACATCTCCGAGCAAAGAGATGCACAAACCGATTTTCAAGTTTACAAGTATTTGTTCCTCTTTCATACCATTTTTTTTTCTCGCTTTCCAGCA